GAAGGAGATCTACAGCCTCCACTTCTCCCCCAACGGGTGAGATCCTAACCCTGACCCTAACCCTAACCCTAACCCTGAAGGAGATCTACAGCCTCCACTTCTCCCCCAACGGGTGAGATCCTAGCCCTAACCCTAACCCTGAAGGAGATCTACAGCCTCCACTTCTCCCCCAACGGGTGAAATCCTAACCCTGACCCTGACCCTGACCCTAACCCTAACCCTGACCCTAACCCTGACCCTAGCCCTAACCCTGACCCTAGCCCTAGCCCTAACCCTGACCCTAACCCTAACCCCTCTCTGTTTGGCAGCCACCACCTGGCCACCGGCAGTGGGGACAACACCTGTAAGGTGTGGGAGTTGCGCAACAGGAAGTGTCTGTACACCGTCCCCGCCCACCAGAACCTGGTGTCCGCCGTCCGCTTCCAGCGTAAGCCCCCGCCGACCCGGGTTAGGGCTAGGGTCTGACCCCGGGCTAGGGTTAGGGTCTGACCCCGGGTTAGGGCTAGGGTCTGACCCCGGGTTAGGGTTAGGGTCTGACTCACTTCCTGTTGCAGCCACTGACGGCCACTTCCTGCTGACGGGCGCCTACGACAACACGGTGAAGGTCTGGAGCCACCCGGGCTGGATGCCCCTGAAGACCCTGGCCGGGCACGAGGGCAAGGTGAGGCTAACCCTAACCCTAACCCTAACCCTAACCCCAACCCCAACCCCAACCCTAACCCTAACCCCAACCCTAACCCTAACCATAACCATAACCCGGGCTGGATGCCCCTGAAGACCCTGGCCGGGCACGAGGGCAAGGTGAGGCTAACCCTAACCCCAACCCTAACCCTAACCCCGGGCACGAGGGCAAGGTGAGGCTAACCCTAACCCTAACCCCAACCCCAACCCTAACCCTAACCATAACCCGGGCTGGATGCCCCTGAAGACCCTGGCCGGGCACGAGGGCAAGGTGAGGCTAACCCTAACCCTAACCTGAGGGGAAGGTGAGGCTAACCCTAACTAGGGTTGTCAAAAGGATCGATACTCGAAAAAGTATGGATACTAAAATGTTGTATCCGGATACGATACTCATTTTCTAAAGTACCGATACCACCCCCTTCTCTCTGATTTATTTATGTATTTATTTACGTTGTTTATGATCATTAACAAAATGTTAGCCTTTCTAGCTGCGGCTAATGGCTAATAATAACATGCTACCATTAATCAAGTACATATCTAACTCCGCCCACATCCAAGTCGGACATTTTGATTAGGTCATCAATAGGAAGATCCCAGGCAAGAAAATCCTAATTGCTTCATGGCAATATAGACATTAATTTAAAAATAGTGAAATTAATCTTTCAAACACTTAATTAAACTATATACATATTATGTTAAAATAGTGGATGTTAAATAGGTTTGTACAATAAGTCCAAACAAGTTTTACCAAAAAATATTTATTTCTCACAATTATGAAGGCTGGAGGGTTAGGGTTAGGGTTAGGGTTAGGGTCATTAATGTGGGCCACCATAACATCAGTAACAGGTCAGTTTGAAATGAAACACACAATTCAGTTAAATTTTGGGGTCTTTGTTTTTATCCTTGTGGTATCGAACATGGTATCGAGTATCGAGTATTTTCCTGAGTATCGGTATCGAGTTGAAAATTTTAGTATCGTGACAACCCTAACCCTAACCCTAACCCGAGGGGAGGGTGAGGCGGCGTGAGGGCAGAGAGGGCGGTGTGAGGGCTCTGATTGGGCGGTGTGAGGGCTCTGATTGGGCGGTGTGAGGGCGGTGTGAGGGCTCTGATTGGCCGGTGTCAGGGCTCTGATTGGCTAACGGGGGACACCTGTTTGCAGGTGATGGGCGGTGTGAGGGCTCTGATTGGGCGGTGTGAGGGCTCTGATTGGGCGGTGTGAGGGCGGTGTGAGGGCTCTGATTGGGCGGTGTGAGGGCTCTGATTGGGCGGTGTGAGGGCTCTGATTGGGCGGTGGGAAGGCTCTGATTGGCCGGTGTGAGGGCTCTGATTGGCTAACGGGGGACACCTGTTTGCAGGTGATGGGCGTGGACGTTTCTCCGGACGGGAAACTGATCGCCACCAGCTCCTACGACCGAACCTTCAAGCTGTGGCTGTCTGAATAACGCCATCCAGAAAATGATACTTTCTGTTATTGATTCTGTTTTTTTATTGAATAAAACATTGTGAATTGTTCTTTGTTTACTAATGTGTTTTTGCTAAAGCTTTGGCTCGGGGGGTCAGTGATTCATGTATTATTATTATTACTATTATTATTATTATTATTATTATTATTATTATAATTATTCATGTATCTGAAGACTCTTGATAGCTGCTGGTCCTGAGTCAGGTCCGGTTAGGGTTAGGGTTAGGGTCAGGTCCGGTTCTAAGGCACAGCGGGGATGCTGTTCTCGGCCCGTTCTGGTGGGGGGGAACCCCCGCCCTTCTCCAGGGTTCTTTAATCAGCTTCAGACTCTGCTGTTGAATTTAGACGTCAGGTGTCATTGCGCTGGGGCCTTTTTCTGCCACGGGCCGAGGCCAGTGAAGCCTCCTTAGGATCAGGTTCAGAAAAATGTAACCGTGTCTCCAGGTTAGATTAAATCTGCTGCAGCAGTGTGAGCAGTTCCTCCTCTGTCTGGTTTCATATCGAGCTTTTTCTATATTGAGCGCATGAAAGTGTCACACGGTAGAATCTGTGGCTCCTCCCCCCCTGGGGCCCGCCCCTGTGAGGGTCTCGGCAGATAAAGGCAGAGCGGCGGTCTGGAGGCGGTCTAAAGTCCTTCAGAGGGACGGGGACGGACATGGCCGCTCTGTGCAGCGAACTGGATCCTCTCTGGGTGAGTTCAGGAACTTCGGCCTGGAGAACGTCCTGGTTCTGCTCTATCCATGTGGCCCTGGAAAGACGATGTCCTGTGGAACTTGCAGGACTGGAACCTGACCTGGTACACCTCCTCCCCAGACCTCACCCGGTGCTTCCAGCAGACGGTGCTGGTGTGGGCGCCCGGTCTCTACCTGTGGACCTGCGCCCCCTTTTACCTGGTCTACCTGCAGCTCTGCCCCAAAGGACTCATCCCCCTGTCCAGACTCTGCTGCATCAAGACGGTAAGGCGGGGGCCCAGGACCCGCAGGGGTCCAGGACCTGGAGGGGTCTGCTGGGGTCCAGGACCTGCAGGGGTCCAGGACCTGCAGGGGTCCAGGACCTGCTGGGGTCCAGGACCTGCTGGGGTCTGCTGGGGTCCAGGCCCAGGCAGGGGTCCAGGACCTGCAGGGGTCCAGGACCTGCAGGGGTCTGCTGGGGTCCAGGCCCAGGCAGGGGTCCAGGACCTGCTGGGGTCCAGGACCTGCAGGGGTCCAGGACCTGCTGGGGTCCAGGACCTGGAGGGGTCTGCTGGGGTCCAGGCCCAGGCAGGGGTCCAGGACCTGGAGGGGTCTGCTGGGGTCCAGGACCTGCAGGGGTCCAGGACCTGCTGGGGTCCAGGACCTGGCTGCTGGGGTCCAGGACCTGCTGGGGTCCAGGACCTGGCAGGGGTCCAGGACCTGGAGGGGTCTGCTGGGGTCCAGGACCTGCAGGGGTCCAGGACCTGCTGGGGTCCAGGACCTGGAGGGGTCTGCTGGGGTCCAGGCCCAGGCAGGGGTCCAGGACCTGCAGGGGTCCAGGACCTGGAGGGGTCTGCTGGGGTCCAGGACCTGCAGGGGTCCAGGACCTGGAGGGGTCTGCTGGGGTCCAGGCCCAGGCAGGGGTCCAGGACCTGCAGGGGTCCAGGACCTGCTGGGGTCCAGGACCTGGAGGGGTCTGCTGGGGTCCAGGCCCAGGCAGGGGTCCAGGACCTGGAGGGGTCTGCTGGGGTCCAGGACCTGCAGGGGTCCAGGACCTGCTGGGGTCCAGGACCTGCTGGGGTCCAGGACCTGGCAGGGGTCCAGGACCTGGAGGGGTCTGCTGGGGTCCAGGACCTGCAGGGGTCCAGGACCTGCTGGGGTCCAGGACCTCGAGGGGCCTGCTGGGGTCCAGGACCTACAGGGGTCCAGGACCTGGCTGCAGGGGTCCAGGACCTGGAGGGGTCTGCTGGGGTCCAGACCCTGCTGGGGTCCAGGCCCTGCTGGGGTCCAGGGCCTGCAGGGGTCCAGGACCTGCTGGGGTCCAGGCCCTGCTGGGGTCCAGGACCTGCTGGGTTAAATCATTGGCTCATGGTTTCTTTAAGCCAACCTTCTTACTATGACTCATTATTAGTCGTATATTTGATATGATGGAATGTATTTTGACTCTAACTCGACCATAAGGAGTCCCACCTGCCCTGAATAAACCAGGTTAAGACATGTTAACCATCAATAGCCCTCAGGTTTACTCTGGGTTCTGGTTCTGTTGCAGCTCCTGGCTCTCAGTCTGGCTTCTTTTGGACTTCTGGAGATGTTTTATTTCCTGGTGAAGCTGAGCGAGATCCAGAACCACCTCCTGGTGCTGCTGGCCCCTCTGATCCGTGTTCTGACTCTGGTAAGGGTTGTGGTTCCTGTCCTAACTCTACCCTGTCCCCCTCTGTCCCCCTTCCTACGCTGTTCCCTCCTCTGATCCGTGTTCTGACTCTGGTATGGGACCTGGCAGGAATGGGTTGTAACCCTAACCTAACCCTAACTCTACCCTGACCCCCTCTGTCCCCCTTCCTACGCTGGCCCCTGACTGCTGAGTTCCCTCCTCTGAGCCTGTTGTTAGCTCGATGCTAAATGTGATGCTGTTCTGCAGTTAGGGCAAAGCGTGTAAATGCCCAAACATAGACCAGCAGCTGGGTGACCTGGAACGGGTTTTTCTGGTTTTTCTTCTCAGGGTTTGGCTGCAGCTGTAATCCACGTTGAGAGGATGAAGGGCCGACGTTCATCCGTGCTCCTCTTCCTCTTCTGGACCCTGTTGGTTCTGTGTTCTATTGTTCCTCTAAAGCTCAACATCGAGCACATTGTTGATCAGGTATCAATGTTTAGATATTTCCACCCAATGTCTAAATAATGAAGGCTGCTGAGTCTGCACCTCTGGAACTAAGATGTTCTGAAGGAAATCTAACTAGTGCAGCTCTCTTGGACTCAGAACTAACAGATGTTTGACCCCTGACAAAGACACGAGGCTGACTGAGAGCTGTTGAGTTTCTAGAATAGACCAAACATGTCTGATGAAGAAAACCAGGACGATGCAGATGGTAAGAAAGGCGAGCTAACAGCTAAACCAGGAGATAATTACTGGTGACATCATGGGGGCCCCGGTGGCCGGACAGGTCTCGGCTGGACTCCGTTCTCTCCTGGCCGTGGTATTTTGCAGCCGAGTGAAGCTTGTTCTCTGAAAGTGTGAAAGTCTTTCTTTATTGGATCTGCAGTCAGCTGGTGGCCACAAACACGTGTTTTCAGATGGTGGAAGGAGCATGAGGATTACGTTCATTTCTACACGTTTGTTTTCTTCCTTATTGGTTCAGCTGGACTGTTATTTTCCTGCTGAAACTGAATCTCCCCTCTCAGGGCTCCTCCTGTTTTCTGGTTGAATCTCCCCTCTCAGGGCTCCTCCTCGGACAGCCTGCGCTTGGTGGCGTTCTTCATCACTTTTTTCCTCCAGCTGACTGAACTGGTGCTCAGCTGTTTCTCTGACGGCCGACCTCTCTCCCACAGGTACTCCCACGTCCAGGTGAGAACTAAAGTTCATCTCTGCTCCTTGTTGTGACGGTCCAGAGGAATTTAAATAGTTTCTCTCAAATGGTATATTAAAAAAAGAAGTTTTAGTGAAATCGAACTTCTTTTTGTTAGAATCCATGTCCAGAAGAAGATGCCTCCTTCCTCTCCAAGTTTTTCTTCTTCTGGTTCAGCAGGTAACTTTTCAGTGAGCAAACCAGCAGCTCTGTGTGAAGAGGCAGAAAAGGTTTCTCTTGGAGCTTACACAGCTCTCTTTAGTTTCATGTTGGTCACAAAAACCTGATCAGTAAATGTCTATCCAGCATTCAGAGCATCTGCTGGGAGGTGAACGTGCACTGAGGCCGTGCACAGGCAGGAAGCAGAAGCTGCCGTTGCTTTCTGACTCATGGACAGTTTGCCTTTCTTCTTCCCTCAGTTTGGGGCTTCGGGGTTATTGGCGCCCCCTGCAGGCTGCAGATTTGTGGGCTCTGCGCCTCCAGGACTCATCCATCCAGATCATGGCCGACTTTCAGAGATTATGGAAGCAGCAGTATGGCACTTTGTCTTTTTTCTCTTTGGCTCTGTTAGTTGGTTTATGAACACAAACCAATCAGAGTTTACACATTAAAGAAAACAATTAAGAAAAACGTAAAAATTTAACAAAATTTATGAAACAATGCAAAGCTATATTTTCATATTATTGTTGCTTTGATTATCTAAAATGGAATAAATGTATAAATAATTCCGTAAACATGAAAACGTCTTTGGATGTTTAATAATGTGATTCGTGAGTCTGGTGGTTTCTGATAGGCCCAGTTCTTCTTCTTAGATTGAATGGACATCTCTCCCCCTCATGGTAACGGGTCCTGTGTGCAGGTCCCAGTCCAGGTCCTGGTTCTGGCTCCGGTCCTGGTGTGCTGATCCCGCCACAGAAACAGAACAAACCCATCTGCTGAGGAAGAGCCGGAGAGGGTGGGGGTACGAGTCCTCCCTGCTGTGGGCCTTAGGGCGGAGCTTCGGAGCCTACTTCCTGTGTGGAACGCTGTGCCTCCTCCTGCACGACGCCTTCATGTTCACCGTGCCCCAGGTGCTCAGGTGTGTTGTGGGGCCTCCCCCTGTCGGGGAGAGAACCGCAGCTAAACACACAGTAGCTCACCAGAGACATAAACATACAGATCCAAA